CAACAATAATAATAAATTAATAATAATGATAATAGCAATAACAATAATAATAACAATAAATTAATAGTAGTGATAATAAGAATACGAATAATGATCACATTCGAACCTGTTATGTTGTCTAACGAAAAGAACATGTAATGCGGCAAGAGCCACGAACAGGTTCGACCTGTCATCACCAGTGATAATGTTTTGACTGTTATCAACTGGTGGGAATACACGATTCCGGATGATATTCGTTTTCAGGAACGCACCCTGACGGAATATAAACTGATCGCGTTCTGAACTGCCGTAGATCTGCAATTTTTTTCGACTTTCTTTATCAAAACAATTTCTTTGTTTTATTTCACATCTCCTTTTCAACAAATCGCAACTGCATTTTTTTGACTATCGAATATTTTTCGAAATTTTTTTTTGTATTTTTTGTGCACGTCTGAATATTTTCGAAAACTTCAATTTAAAAACTTGAATCTTGAATTCTCGCAAACTTGAATTTCAAAAAAAAAATGATCGAATGAATGCAAACAAACGTTTGATGCGTCGATAAACGCAGTGTTCTCGTTGAATTGCTCTCGAGGTGAGCTCTGCCCAGATCCGCACAATGGCGTTGATCGTGCCACTGGTAAACATTGGAACTGACCAAATCTGAATCGAACCAACCAAAAAATTATTCCGGAATCAACCCAAAACTCGAATAATCAGTGAATCATCACTTTCAATCGAATTCAGCGAAACACTTCCAATGAAATATCATTAAGAATTAAATTAAATGAACGACTGAATTAAACTGAATCGAAGTGAATTAAGACGAATTAAGAATCGAAAGGATGAAAGCACTGACGTCGGATCTCGTCTCGATATGAACACATTAAAACAGTGTTGACCATTCACACAAGATGCACATTCTTGATTGTTTAGCGTAGTGGTCTTAGCCATATCATGACTGATAAACTGTCCCCATTGCATCATTAAAGCGTTCGATTTTGTTGTCACCTTCAACTTGTTCATTTCAAAACATTTACTCTCATTTCTAACCGTTGATATTCTCCGCAAATATTCTATAGGGAAGTAAATGAAGTTTAAAATATACTCTATTGAATTCTCAAGTTACAATTTATTCACCTGAGCAGATGAAGACAACATAAGACGTGATGCTTCACGCGCTGTAGGACGAACACCATGTTTTGCTCCTTGAAATAATTATTGTCAATCATTTCTGTGACTTGAACCAAGAATGTGAATGAAAGCTTACAAATCTATGTTCACTTGTAAACATTTACGAGCGACATTTAACATGAGTATTTCAATCAGACAAACTTACTATTTGAATTTACTAAATTTTATTATTTTACTCTGAAGATGCATTTGACGGATGGGCAGAGTCGTGGATTTTATTGTTTATATTGCATCCAAAGAAAGCAACATAATAGACTATTATCTCGATGTTTCTTTTAAGATGGAAGTTCCTTTGCAGAGACTTTGAAAACAAGTGCTAAGGAGGAATTGACGACGTTAGCAAATTGTTGCTCATTGATTTTTCAAAAGCAT